ATATACTTAGGTAAATATTCTAAGCACTTATGTAGGATCTTACACTTAATTAGTGATATCTTTGAAAGTGGTTATAGGAAGGGTGTTAATTTGCAATTGGTTTTATACCTTGATGAAGGTTACATATCAGAACAATTGTTCTGTAGGACTTATTCTTGCTTGGCTCTGTTTCTGAGTTATGCCCTGATGTGGTGAAGTCACGCTCATTTTGAGAGATGGTACAGAGACTTGTACAAGTTAGTATTAATTAGGGTAGTAACTCCTGTAAACATGAAAAAAAGAGAGTCACTAAAATACCATACTTTCAAGTCATCTGCTTTAAACATGATGCTGTCCTACTCTTTGCCCTAGCACCTAGTTGTTGCCAGTGAAAAATTTAGAAATTATAGTTTTGACTTTTATGGACTGGTTCTGCTTGTTTCTGGAGTGGGATGATGTTTCAGCTTCTATTCTGAGGCATTCTTCAGGAATTCTACACTGAAGTTTAGAGTTTGACTAGAATATCCTTGAAACAAATATAGAAACTGACTGGTTGAATGAAGGTTTATTTAGGATGAAAGATTTGTATTTTATATATGCACCTGATATTCATATATTCTTCTTTCTTTTCCATGTTTAAAATTTTAACTTGGAAGACATTGGAAATGTTGTTGGAAATAAGTGTACTTGAATATCACGTAAATAAAAGTGACAAAATTTATGACTGATAAGTTTCATTGGTTATCTTTCCTGAATAAATAAAACAATTAATATTTTTCCTATATACAAGTATTATTAATCATATATTTTGCTTGCATGCTTAATTCTCACAGAAAAATAACATGTTAGTGTATATTTTAATTTACGTGCCAATATAAAAATTTTTACACTTAATTCTATATCTAGATACAGCATTCAGCTATGTGTGTACACAGATTTAAGCAACAGAAACATTTGTGTTGTTAATTGTTATCATGATTCAAACAACAAAGGTGTTGTCTTTTTTCTTACTGATACATTTCAGTTATCAAAGATGATGTCTTAATTTTGTTCCAATTGTTTAAATTCAATGTTAATGCAATTGTGTTTTTCGATCTTTACAAACTTGCTGATGTACATATAGTGGGTAGGTACATTATGTTGTGGAATTACAAACTTGTAATACTTATTAAACTTTTAAATATGTTATTGCTGTAATCTGAAAACGTACAACTTTTTGTGCAAAATTAAAATATTGAAGATTATTAATACTTAGTTATGATTAAGAAAGCCCAGTATTTGGATTATATTTGTACATAATGCATATTTCAACTACTATGGCAGCAGCTTGTACATTATCTTGCTCTTCTTCAACATGTGTTTCTCTGTTAAGAAAGCTTTTGTTTGTGGCAGGCTTTACTTTACTTTTATGTTATACAACATGTATTTCTCTATCCTAGAGAGTAAACATGAAGAAAATTTTTGTTGGGTGTATGTAAAAACAGAGCACCAAAATAAAGTTTAATAGACTAAATAATGTGTGTGTGTAACACCTTTTCATGCTCTTCAAAATGGCAGATATCAAGATGTAAAATCAAAATTGTGTGAGTTAGTTAATAAAAGTTAGATTTGTAACCCTACTTACCTATAAGACTGCCAAGAAAAGAACCAAATTTAAAGCAAGGAATGTCAGTAAATACAAGTTTAGATTTAGAGAAAGAGAATGATCTAATTGATTATAGGAAAACGTCATTTTGGTTTTATAAACTACGAGAAAGAACAGCTATTTTATAGTGATTTTTTTAGTAATTCTCTTTTTGCATTTTTAAAATATAGACTAAACTTCAATTGTATTTTAAGTGTTTTGTGGTTGTTATATAGAACATTCAAATTCACACAGCTGTTTTATATTGATTTTTTTACAAATTATTTTCTGTAATTTTAAAATAAATATTTAAACTAAGTGTTTTTTTAAATAGTTATTGGCTGTTATATAAGACATTCACATTGTTATGTATCAGGGTTTTATGTATATGGGCTTGGATTCTTCTATAGTAGGTGTCTGTGATTTGTTGTCGATAAATTTGGACAATAAACGGACAGCACACAATCCACTTGTTTTAAAATAATATATTCAAAACAAGTCTGAAACTCTGTACAAAAATTCTTTATACTATGGATATTCACAGTTGTATCTCAAACTCTATATAATTTTATTTTCTTGTCAAAAGTCCACTTAGGCTGATTCAATTACTTTAGAATCCAATTGACAAGATGAACTATTTTTCTCTGCTCTCATCACAATAGTATCAGTGAATATTTCACTTATGCTACCGTATGTGTTACCACAGTCATATCCTGAACTTCAGATAATTGTCTCCTTTTTGTCAAAGTCCACACAAGTGGGTTCAGTTACTTTATAACACCCTTTGACACTCTTTATCTCTATTAAACTGTGAAACTCACTTGAAAATATTGCTTGTTATGGCTAACTTCATATTTTCTTTTGCTAACTAATTTTCTGATTGAATTGCACTTGATTTTTTTTTCTACTTTCTTCTTAAGTTGTGCTCGCGAGCCACCTATATATATATATATATATATACCTGTTCAATGAGGCCTCAAATTTTTGTAAGATAAAAATACTCACTTAAGGTAATGAGAAAAATACCGATGATTTGAGTAACTTAGCATCAACAATACTACAACAATTGAACCACACACACACACAACATATGACTCTTACCAAGTTATGCAACCAAACTTGTCATAACTATCACATATAAAATGATTAATTTTTAACATTCTTGTTATGAAATCTAAACAATAATTAAGTATTAAATCACAAAATAAATAATAATGCCTACACTAAACAGTCTTGTATATCCAACATTATGTTTTAAATTATGACAGTAACACTGTATGAGCTACACTGTTTTATGTATGTATTTCAGTAATTATTTTTCAACTTATTTTTTAACAAAAGTTTATTTCTAATTTGTTTCTTTGTTTTTCAACATTATTAATGCCTCTTTTATGAGATGTTATTCAGTTACTGTAACCAGCTTCAAATTAAGATAGTGTATGTATTATCATTGTATGTATCTGCACTTTATATAGATTGCAGATAGAAATATGAGCTAGTTTACTAGTAAGTTATGTTACTTAGTTAAACCAGGAAACTTAATGAACCAATTAGTTTTGTATCCTTTTATTGGTCAAATATAAATCTTAACAGTCATTATTTTTATACAGCCTTGTTTTTGGTATCATTTATACTTTTCTGTTCACTGAATTTCCAGATTGTACTTGACAATAAGTTTTGTTTTAAGTGTGTCACACAACTCTCTAGGAAGGAGTATAATTACAAATTATTTATTAAATTATGCATATGATGACAGTGTCCCTGCATTTTACCCTCTATTTAGTATTTTATTAATTTTCTGAATGGTGCACATGATCTTAACTGACAGTGCCCTTGTGTTTTGCTCTCTAGTTTGGGCTAATGCACATCTCAAATTATATATGATGGCAGTGCCCCTCCATTTTGCTGTCTAATTTGGTCTAATATATAATTTCTTAAGTTTTGCATGTAATTACAGTGTCCCTGCATCTTGCCTTCTACTTAGTTTAGTCTTAATTTACTAAATTTTGCATATGACCATAATGTCCCTGCATTTTACTGTCTAATTTGGTGTAGTATTAATTTCATAAATTATGCATATGATGACAGTATCTTTATGTTTTGCTCTCTAGTTAGGTGTAACACAAATTTCTTAAATTGTGTATATGATGACAGTGTCCCTACCTTTTGCTGTCTAATTTGGTGTATTATTAATTTTCTCAATATGTGTATGATGACAGTTTCCTTGTAGATTCTTGTCTAATTTGATGCGATATTAAATAATATACCTTTACCATTTGTGAATATAAACTTTACAAGTAGAACTAAGAACGATTGTTAACTTAATACATGACACTATTTTATGTCCATATTTAGTTTCATTGTGTTTACTTAGATCAAAGTGTACAAATCATAGCTTTTATATTTATTCCTCAGGGATCAACCAGGATCTTCTAGACACTGTATTAATGCCAACAGATAAATCAGAGGTATGACATTGGTAATTAATTATTAATTAACAGAAAGTGATCTTTGAAATGCCTTTGGAAGGATAATATAAAAGATTAGGTGGTTGGATAACATCATTACGGTTCAGTAGAAATATTCTGATAACGTGTTTAGCTTCAAAGTCAGACCACTTAAACATAACAGTGGACTAATAATGGCGGGGACTACAAGTAGAATCAAAATACAATCAAAACATTCAGAGTACAAGTATTCCAGTGATAATGCAAAGTTTTAACCTTGTTTACACATATCAAACTTGTGGTATTTAATAATGTTTTGAACCGTTTTAAAGACATCTTGTCTAATACATTAATCATACATGTTACTATGCTCCCAGTTGCTGATTTCTATAAAAATTGCAAATCTCTTTAAATCAGCAGTCAGTTTTTACACTTTTTACGAGAACCATTTAGACAGTGAACCTATTTTTAGGGTACCCGTGTTCCTAGGTTTATGTAAGATCTGAATAATACGTGCATGTGTACATTGCTATTAGTTAGACACAGTTCAAAGGGCAATAAAACAGTACAATTAGAAATATATATACTTTTATGAGCTTTAAGCTATTTAGGGAAAACAAATGTAGATGTAATTGAGATTTATTTTATAGTGATTACAAGGATGGTTAAGTTGACCTTGTATTGAGTTAGGTTAGAGAAAATAAAATCAATTATAAAGTTTTACTGAAATTAAATGTTTGATATTCGTTTAGGAGGTTTTAGAGATTACATGTATGCAATTTTATGTTTTCAGATGAAAAACAGTATTTTTATTGTTAACATGAAAATCACTCTGTACTCAGAACTGTCAACACTTTGACTCAATATATTTGTGGAGAAATGTTTAGTAAAAATACTTCATTAAAAATCCTGATTTTTTTGTCTACAAAAGGCATACAGTGTTTACTGAAAGATTGCAAAATTTCATGAAGATATACAAAACATATTAGAAGTTATAATATGGAAACTCTAAAGGTCAATTTGTGGTCACAAACTCGATCAAAGTGACCGACCCCGTAGCAAGAGAGCTAAGTTCAATAAGCTTAATGCCAAAGTAGTAAATATGTAACCAATAATTGATTTTCCCTGCTTTTTGTCATTCTTTTTTAGACCCTTCATTAAAGGTATGATTTATAACTAAAATATTCCTTTAATATGTGTTAAATGTTTATAAGGTCTGTGAATAAACTTTTTATGAAAAACGAAAACAAAAAGTAATTTGTAACTTAACAAGTCATTAGTATTATGTAGGATAAGTTTTTAACGTTGTTTCAGAGATACCTATGTTAAATTAGACTTGTAACAATAACCTTGAATTTCTATTTATTTTAAGTTAAGTGAACTTTGAGAACCTATGTTGAAACTTTATTTTTCTTTTCATAATAGATTTTTATTTTAAATGAATTTCCAATTTGCTTTCTCTGCAGACGAAACATCTTTATAACATTCACTTAGTTGAAAGGCTTATCAAGATAATCAACCAGAGCTGTCAGTACAGTGAGTATCAATTTGTCATGATAATCAACCAGAGCTGTCAGTACAGTGAGTATCAATTTGTCATGATAATCAACCAGAGCTGTCAGTACAGTGAGTATCAGTTTAAGATAATCAACCAGAGCTGTCAGTACAGTGAGTATCAGTTTGTCAAGATAATTAACCAAAGCTTGTCAGTACAGTGAGTATCAGTTTGTCATGATAATCAACCAGAGCTGTCAATACAGTGAGTATCAATTTGTCATGATAATCAACCAGAGCTGTCAATACAGTGAGTATCAGTTTGTCATGATAATCAACCAGAGCTGTCAGTACAGTGAGTATCCATTTGTCATGATAATCAACCAGAGCTGTCAATACAGTGAGTATCAGTTTGTCAAGATAACCAACCAGAGCTATCAGTACAGTAGTAATGATTTCTCATAATAATCAGTCAGGGTTGTAGTACAGTGAGTATTAGTTTGTTAAGATAATCAACCAGAGCTATCAGTTTAGTGAGTATCAGTTTCTCAAGAGGATCAGAGCTGTCTATATTTTGACCAATAGCATTGGTTAAATAAATGAATACTGTGTTAATGTTTTATATTGTTACAGTTCCAGTAAAATTGCTGTTATTGTATTTTGTTGTTTTAAAATTTGCCACCAAAATCTCTTGTTTAGCAAAAAAAAAGGTTTTCTCATTACCTTGGGTTACCCTTGTACATATAGAATTTTTTAATTTAATCTTTACCCCACAGTACAGTTTTTCTTGAAAGAAGACAATTAATGAGGAAAAAAAAATCTTACTCAGTACTGAGAGTTTTAAAATATTTTATAATAGTGGTGATACAGGTTTCCTTTTGGCTCTAACCTTCCTCCAGCAACAGTCTCCTAGCAACATGCACTCTAGTGCCACTTCATGGAACTGTGATATCCTCTAGCAAGGCACCCTCTGCTGTCAGTATCTTTTGTATACTTTTGTTCCAGTTTTAGGGTCTGCACATAATTAAATTAATTTATACCTGACCGAAATAAGTCCATGCAGGTATTTGGTCATGAAATAAACAGGAATGTTTTGCTCCTCTTTTCTTTGTGAAATATTATATTTACTGACAGATTTACCAACAGGAGGCATTATTAGTAAAGTAATTTTTTTCAGTTTATAGAAATCAAGTGTGTAATATGATATTATGCTACTGGTTTTTTTAAATAATTATATATCTTAATTTTTTTATTCTTTACATTATTGACCTTTTATATAAAAACTAATTGTTATGTTTCTCTTTTTTAATGTTTTCCTCATTTTACAATTAATTTCAGACAGTTGTATAAGGCTTGTCACACTGGAAATGAGTGTTCTGTTACTGAAACAGTTAGTGCTGAAGGATGGTTACAGTTTTCTTCAAGATCAACATCTGGCAGCAATCGACCAGGCTCACGAAGAAAGTACTTTACTTCTTAGAAACTTCTACAAAGTAAGTATCTTATACTTGTTATTATCTCATGCAAAATATACGTATAATATTTTATGATATAAGCTTAATGTTAGACCAGCTATTTTACAGCGTACATTGATCGGCAAAGTAAGAGTGAGAACAGTCATATGTTATTGTATGTTATATGACAAGTTAAATTTGAGAACACCTGTTTTGTACAGTATGTTGTATTTTAAGCCAAGTGGAGAACAATAATTTTTACTGTATATTGCATTTGAATCTAAGCATGAAAAGAACTGTCTTGTATTGTGTGTTGCATGTAAAATTGAAAGAGTATTGAAGATGTTTTTAGATCTATTTAACATGTTCACTGCTGAGGATGGCATGTGCATGTTTAACATTCGTTCACATGTGCTCACGAGGCGTGTGTGTCCTAAGTAAAAAAAAATAAAGATTACATGTTTTAAGTTTGTTATTGTTGCTATCATGTAAGTTGAAAACATAATGATATTGCACTAAAACTCGATCAGCACAGATGATGCCAAACGTCACAGCAGATTATGTGTTAATAGTTTTTAATTTTTATCTTAAGTGTAAAGTTACATGTATACATATCAGGCTAGGGATGCCTTGATATATTGAATTGAAATTATAGTGTTATGGTGATACACCTTAAGTAATGGTGCTTAAACTGTATGAAATGAGGCTTGTACTTTACTCTTAATAACCAGAGATGATGATATTTCTTAAAAAACAAGTGTCAACAGATTAAAGTGGATGTTTACTGGACACCCATGTAACTGTTTTTTTTTCATTATGTCTAATAGGTGTAAGATATTGTAGCTTCTGAAGTGGAATTTAATCTTCACTGATTAAAAACAAATTTTCAGTGTATGTGTTAGTGTTATGTGTAAAACTGTGTGTTAAACACTTGTTTGCAGTAGGAAACAAACTTGGGTCTTTGAATTTTATGTATCAATGAACTGTTTGCATACATTGGATTGTTAGTTTTTTCTTGCTTGTCAGTATAGACCATAAGAAATATTTTGTTTGGTATTGAAACATTTGTTGGGATTTCTACACTTAAGTATGTTATGTAAAGAAGTCTTCTCTTTAATCTTAACTTGATGGTGACCTTAAAATCAGCTGTCTCGTCATTTGAAAGGCATTTATTTGTTTTTAGAGTGAAGAAATCTTCTTGGACATGTTTGAAAATGAGTACCAAGAAATGAAGGTAAGGAAAGAAGATATCAAGTTCAGTGGATTATATTTTTACAAAAGAAAAATTTAGTGCATCATAAAACATTGTGACTTTATTGTTTTATGGTTATTTTTTTGCATTAAGTTGAATTCCTTAATATTTATAGAGGTAATATCTTTTTAACGATTGTTAGTGTTGTTGTACAAGTCATTATTTTAACAGAAAGTCATTTAGACTGCTTGTTAAGGTATTTTTGTTCTAGTTTTTACTTAAAGTACTTTATTTATTTTTTATACTGCTTAATATTTTGTTTTACAATTATATGTGTATTTCTTTTAAATTAGTTTTCAGTTATGATATATTTCTATAATAGTTTTAAAATGTAAGAAGTTAAATTAAACTAATGTTGCAATATTTTACCCCTGGTAAATAATGGAACAGGTTTACAATAAAGTCATCCATGACAGACAGTTGCACTGTGCTTACAATCAACAAACGTAATGATACTAAACAAGAATACTACTGTAAAATTTCATTGTTTTGTAAGAGCAGAGTAGATTTATAAAGCTCATAATGCATTATAAAGTACCAAGCAAACTAAAGTAAGTTTGTTGTGTATTTTCATTGTCATAAGAGAAATTAGATTTATATTTTGAAAATTGTAAATGCTGTTCTTATAATATTTTCTGGAATAGTCACTAATCATGAAAGGTTTATACATATCCTTGTTGCTATACGAAAGAAAGAAAGGGTTTCTTATACAAACATAGTTTCAGCTGAGGTAAATATTACTTGAGATGGCTGTGATTTTACTTTTGGTCATGATTGTACTGAATTAAATTCAAGTTGGTGTGTAACTCGACTTTTTTTACAGAAACGTCCTCTGAATGTGAAATACTTGATGATGGATGACAATCTTCTTCTACCACCTACAGGCACACCATTGTCAGGTGTTGAATTTCATAAACGTCTTCCTTGTGGAGAAGTTGAGCGGGCACGACAGGTAAACACTCGGTGTTTAAAAGAAGGCTTACATTTTATCTGAAGGGCTTGACAGACGTTTTCATACTGTTTAGAGCTTGTTTGTTTACAGTTTTTCCATTTGCTGACCTTGGTTTTCATCACGTGAAAACTCATGCTATCAGGTCAAAATACTGTCTTCAAACAAGCCACAGACAGATGGATGAAGTCCATTAAACCTTTAAGTTAGTATTTTTTATATGTATCAATCACAGAATAATTATTCATGGTCATAAACAGATAAAAATCTGAACCACTGTACTTTTACATTATATCAGTGAGATATGTTGTGTATATTTAGTTTTCAAATACACAAAAAACAATGAATAATTTTTTTCAATTAGAGGAAAATAAACATCAGTTAATTACATTTTGCTCAGTTGATTAGAGACCTTTTGTTGTGTGTATTCATGACCTATTAAAATGAACAAACGTGTTTTTGTTTAACTGTCATTACTGGTGTTTTATAGTATCACTCCAAGTGCTCTTTACACTTTAAAATCTAGTTTAAACCATCTTTATAAGTTCAGTACCAAACAAATAGTGTAAAAGTATAATTGTAATGTTATATAGTAGTTATCTAATTAATTTTACAAATAGGTGTTTGACTCAGCTTTGAAAACAGATACGTGATCCAGTTAAAAACTGTTATTAAAGGGGGGGGGGCAAGATTCAAACCTTGAAGGTTGGACATAGTATGTTTAGAAAAGAGCTCCTAACTAATTTAATGTTAATAGAGGCTTTGGATATTTATACAGCTTCTGATAACAGTTTTCTTGAAACTGATACTGGACTTGTGTTATACTAGTATGTCTGTTTGATAGCTACAGAAATATTTTTCTTCAATGGAAATTTGGGTAAGGATATTTAGGGGTAACAAGTACAGTGACTTAAAAATTCAGATAACGATATTTAGGTAGCATATACCGTTTATATAGTTTTATCTAGGTTTGGGCCTTTTTATCACAAAAACATCTTCATACTGTGCTTTTTGTATGAAAATATATTGAAATAGTTACAAAGACACATTCTGGCATATGTTGTGTAACATTACCACTGTAGTTAATTTGCATATTATAAAAATAAAGAAATACAAAAGAAAGGTCTTATGTTCCTGATAACTTCTTCAAACATCACTGAATGCTCCTGAAAATGGAATGGGATGTGAAGAATTAGTCTGAACTAATGAAAACTAATGAATTGAATAAATATGTATATTCAAAGCTGTCAAAACATACTGTTAGCAAGTACATTTTAACAGTTTTTTTGTGTTGGAATGATGAGATAGTTTTACATATAAGAACTACAGACATCACTTGAAGTTCTTGCAAATGTTTGAAATGTCACAGGTTGTAATTCTTAAGAAAAACAGGAATGTTCAAGCCTCTGTTTTGATACTTGAAAATAATTCATTTGCATCAAATTTATTTAATGACATTTTCTTACACAGATAATTAATATTTTTAGTTATGAGACAACAGAAATATATCAAGACAAATTACCTGAAAGCTTTGGATTCTATCTTGTTGAAACTTCCATTTTTTTATTTGTAAAACAGAAATAAGAGTTACAACTGAAGTTTTGTAGTTAATATATTTAATATCTTTTAAAGCATTTCAGCTTATTTGTTATGGTAGTTTCTTCACGTTATAATAAATATTTGATTAGCTTCTTGCTTCTGTTGTTTTAACAGTACTTGTTTCTGATTGTTTATCAGAGGTTCTAATTTAGAGGTTCTAAAAGTTCACCATGAATCTGTATATTTTGTGACTTTTTTTTTTAAATTCTGTTTACAGGCAATCCGAGTTTTCTTCATTCTTCGAGATTTAACTCTAAGCTTAGGAGGAGAGACTGAAACACAGCTTCCATTGACTAATTTAAACAACTGTGTCAAAGTTAATGAAGTTCTAGATCTTAGTAAGTTGCTAGAAGCCTTTTTCATAATTTTTCTTGTACCAAATATTGTAGCTTTACTGTTTCATTAACCTTTTGTTCTAAAATTTCTTTTATGTTCTGAATGATTTATTTCATAATAATGTAAGTCTGTACATCAGAAAAGCTACATTAATACTACACATTGGAATTGTGGTATACATGTACAGAATATAATTGTTTTCCCTGATTTCATGAAACTACAGAGGGTTATTCATTACTATGGTAACAGTGTGCATATCCAAGCACCTTGCACATGTTTATCTCCATGGCCTGTGAATAACAGATTAAAAATCCTGCTGGTAGGGTTACATTACAGGACATTCTGATGCAGAGTTTTTATTATTCTGTTATTATAAACGTACACATGGAATGAAGTTTTATCATTTTGAACAAAGGGATATCTGTATTGCTGAACTTTATTGATAAAACAAGGGGGAAAAAACAGGTTAGTCCACAACCAACTGTAGGTAATGAAGAATATTTTGTTCTGGAAAGTAACCCAAGAACATAGCATTCCATTCCAACTAAACTAAATTAGGAACCACTTTTGGGAGAATAAAGAACATGGATTTAAATATAAAAAAAAGACATATACTATGCTCATGAGCTTTTAAAGTGCATAGAAAAATGGAAGATGATGTGAGTAGCGAAGAGCAAATGTATGCTGCTATAAACGTACTTCGCTGTGCAGTTTAAAAATAGCTACAAGCAGGTTGAAAATAATTTCTATTTTTCTTGAATTTTCAATATTAAGTGAATAATAACTAGCTTAACATATGTTACAGTTTCATTTGTTTATATGTTTCCCTTATTTTCTGCATAACCTAAATATATTGTTTGTGAGATTGATGATATAAGTAACACCTTGACCACTACCGCGTCTATCGTAACCCAGCTCGAATTGAGTGAAGGCCTCGTCAGCACCAGATATTGTAAATGTAGTGTAGTTAACATATTCTTTCTCGCTTTCACTCACAAGTTCTTAGAATTATTAATGACTCACATTACAAGAACTCTGATAGTCCTCTATCTACCTAGAATCTTTATAGATAACTGATTATGATTTACTTTTGATTCAAACAATGTTGTGCATTAGGATTATATGAAGTTAAGAATGTGATACATCAGAGTAAGAATGTGAAATTCATTTTCTGTATGAAGCCATGTTAAGAATAGATGGTGAAAGAAGACTTGTAGTCGAAACACTGAGAATAAAAAGATCCCGACGTAGCATTCATGGTCTCATTGCTACCTTAGTATCCATTTGGCAACATGAATAATACTAATTTTGTAATTCTACTTAATCCCCAGAATTATTCGGCATTAGACAGACATTTACTGCTGAATTTTATTTTCAATGTGTACATTTCTTTAATAAAACATGCTATGAATATGTTTATAAAGGTCAAAAGAATTGTATCTTTAAAGAAAAATTGAGAGAAAATTCTGTGTATGTAGCTAGTATGCTATATATTATCAGTAATTTCATCTGTCTGAAGAAGAACAATAAACCATATTTTATTAGAAATGATTCTTTCCCCTTGAGAAATACACTTGTGTTATAAATACTTAGGATTTTACATGGTAAAAAAGTTAACAATATTATATAAAAGAGTTCTAGAAGCATGAGAATGTTGAAAACAAATTTTAATTATTGAGTTTGCTTTTAGGTATTGGTAAATGATTGTTAATAGTTGAAACACTGGTGTTTGTTTGTTTAGCCCTCATATTTGTCTAACTGTAAGTAGACACCATGTATAATTAACGTGTATATGCTTTAAGTTTTAACAGAGAAACATAGTTGTAACTTTGTGATAATTTATACTAGATTTACTTGATAATACTTTAGTAAGTTGGTAGAGAAATGCTTAAAATACGGAGAGATAAAGTCCTTACTGAGGCTATCTTCACAACACGTGGAGCTCACTTTCCAGATAACAGTGATCTGATTGCTTGCACGGTGCTCTTGAAAGATGGACAGAAGATACGTAGGTTCATGGTGATTGACATCCTTCAGGTGATTCTTGTTCAGCCAGACACTAAGAGACTAGGATGGGGCATTGCCAAGTTTGTTGGATTTTTACAGGTATGCACATGAAAATTCTAAGTTAAGTTTATTTAATTCATTGAACAAGTAGACAGTGGAGATAAGATCGTGTGAATCATGAAATAATATTTTTCATTGTTTTCAAACGAGACTCAAAACTCAAGCACTCTTTAATAATTCACTATTCTTCTTCTTGAACTATTCAAAAGCACTCAAGTTTTGGGTGTCGTTTGAAAATCATTACAACTTTTGTATGTGATCCTGTATGCTAACTTCTTGATCAGAAATAATATTTCTCACTCTGAGCACTGTACATGACTGAGAAACAAATCTTATATTCTTGTTTCTATTAGAATTAAACAGAAAGTATGGTGTTATGGAAGTATAGAAAGAACAAATGCTTTAGTCATTCCAAGACCTGTTGCATGTATTCCAAGTATTTTAGTTCCTGAATTATATATGCTTTAATTGAGAAATAGCAAAGATTTCCTGAAAAAATCTCACTTACATCATTTACTGTAACTGGCTTCTTTGGAATTCCATAAAATTTAATTAGTATTTTTGCTGGTGGTTTTTATGCACTTACATCTTCTGAATTTTTTAAAATTAAATATGGGCCTTAACTCTTTCCACGTGATTATATTCACCTTGTAACACCAAAGTAACCACCAGTTTCCATAATATAGCTTTTAATATGGTACTTGTATCTTCTCGAAAATTGCCAATATCTTAGTAAATATTAAAAAATCTTTTGTATTCAAAAAGTCAGGTTTTTTGATTAATTCTTTTTAATAAAAATTTGCTTGTGAATGTACGAAGTCAGAGTGTTGACTGTTTCGACTGTAAAGTGATCTTCACATTAAGATTGAAAATACTTTTCTTGATCTGAAAAGTTTCAAATTTCATTTGTGTAACCTCTAAAACTTAAATAAGTCTCAAAGTTTTGTAGTTAAACTTTATATTTTATCTGTTATTTTCTCTACCCTAACTCTATATGGACTTGGTTGATTTGACCAACCTTGTAACCACCATAAACAAAATACAAAATAAATCTCAATTAACCTATTTCTGTCTAGAATGATTGCAACTTGTAACATAAAAACTACAGTTGTTTATCCTAAGGCTTGTAACAGTTTGCATCAGTTTCTTGTTTTATTGTCTTTTGAACCATGTGTAAGTAATAATCCTTCCACACAAGTTGTAAATCACTCGGCAAATGCATAGCTCAAGTTACCATATTGAATGACATAATGAAGGAGCTACTTGTGTAAACATACCGAGAAGGATTATTGTTATCATATTTCATCATCTAACCTAATAAGTTTCTGATTTTTACATCTTAGTTACTTTTCTAACAATAAGTAAAAAATATACGTGAAAAACAAGAAATATAGTACCTACGTTCAATGTCTTATTCTCTTGCTGTTAGTAGTTGCCAATGAAATTAAGTCTACTTTTTTATAATGATGGTACTAGTACACTAAATAGTTTAAATTGCTTAAATAACACACCCGAGAATACAATAATAACACACACAAACCAAACAATGTCCTATAACTATTATAATTCAACTGGATTTCTAACTATAGCATAAGAGCCTTAACATATAATTCCCCAAGCTAGGATAGAAACTTTCAAACTGAAGAAGAAATAAAAAATAATGTGTACCGAAAACAATATAATATAATATGTCATTTGATGAATTAAAACTGTTTTTCTATTGGTTAAAAATAATATAAAATGTCAGAGATAATTACTGGCAATTTGCAAAAGAGAGGATGTGACAGGTGTGTGTGGCAAGTGGGTCTGATTTTCTAGTTTATTTCTCCATAAACAAAGAAGATTGAAATCTATAGAAATTAAATTTTGCCATAGTAATATCTATATTGTAATGAGTAATTTACATTAAACTCTGTACGTAGAGATGACTGGTAAATAAATTAGAGAATGGGCAAGACCTAAAGAACAAATGTCATGATTCTCATAGAAGGGAAGATTGGAGATTTATTTAAATATTTCCTTAAGATTTTAAAACTCGTATAATATTATAATTTGATTTATCAACTATGATTTGATGTCAAATACATTGATGATAAAGTAGTTTAATTAAATTTTGAATGTAACTATAAAACTTTGTGACATACACACTTTAACCTACCTGTAGCAAGAGGGTTAAATGAATTTGTATAGTTTTTATGTGAACATTAATTATAATTTGTGACAATTTTCCATCTCCATAGGTAGCTATGTTTTATGAAATTTCTTCAGAAAGTTGTATCCTGTCAATATGTTTCTTGATTAGCCAAAGAAATGAATACCTAGTGATTATCGCTTATTTAATCAGTCTTGGAGAAAAGCCACAGTAAACGGAACAAACTGTCAGAAGTCTGATATTAGAGAAACTAGTTTTGATACATTCGTATGTCCTCTTCAGTCTCCTATTGTCTTTGTGAGACTGAAGAGGATGCACTAATGTTTCGAAACTAGTTTCTCTAATATCAGACTTGTGACAGTTTGTTCCGTTTACTGTGGCTTTTATTATTAATCAGAATTCTATGTAGGCTACTTTCTTATAATTTTATAGAATTAGATAATGGTATTAGAATGATAATCCTACAACAAGATGGAGGCAGCATCAGTACTGAATAATTTTTCGTGTAAATCATTATATTTGTGAATTCAGCAAAGAATTTCTTATCCTATGCTTTTTTATTACTCAGTTATGTGAGATGTTGAAGTTTGTGTGTTTAGATAGAAAAGAAATGAAGTTAGCTTAATTTTGTTTTGTCTTATATTAATATCTTCGTGGTTGTAATTTAAGAAAGTTGTAGATTTTATTTCATTGATATTTTGGTTGTTAAGGTTTTGCTTATGATTTTATTACAATACACCTCCTTGTAAAGGTTTACTTTGTATCCAATCTATTATGATGAAATATGTTTCTTAAAATCTTGATCAGATTTTTTTTAATGAGATTATCAACCTGTTTAGGTTTTGCCAGTAAATCAGGTTTCTGTGGAAAAGTATTAAAAATTAATTTAAGAATATCCAGAAATGTAAACTTTGTAATGGATTTTTAGAGATAAGATTGTAAGAGATAAGAACTATATAGTTAATCAATAGAATGAACTTAAAAGTAATTACAGTTATGTTCTGATTGTTTAGTGTAAGACACTCACTGTGGTTGATAGTTTAACCCTATGCTAATGGGTTGGTCAGTTTGACTCACCTTGTAACCATGACATTATATATATATATATATACTATAACTCTTGAGTATCGCCCACAAAATTT